CCGCCCGAGTCGCGCGGAAAATGAAAGCGAAGAAGGCTGGGGGAGGGGGGGGGATAAAATATAGGGGGAGGGGGGAAAAAATCACTCAATGAGAAAACAACGCCGCGGCCGGCCGGGCTCTCCTGCCTTCGCGCGGAGCCGCTCCAAGGGTTAAGCTCCCCTCTGCAAAGTTTCGGGGGAAGCTGCGGCAGCCCCCGGCTTGTCCTGCCCCGGCTGGCGGCTGCTGCTGGGTTTGAGGGGGGTTGTTTTGTTTGGTTTTTCTTTTTTTCTAAGCCAGCACCGGATCAGCGCGCAAAGCCGCCGCCGAGCACCCTGGGGCAGCGCTGCGAGCCGGCGGAGGGACAAAGCTCTCGCCCGGCCCGCGGCCACCCTGGAGGAATTCCGCTCTTGATCTAAAGCCTGTTAGAGCAAACTGTTTCAAACCAAGGTGAGACTTTAGGAGCCCTCCTCCCTCACAAGTTTCCATGGGAAGCGGGTGTGGTGGGGGGCGGGGAGGAGTAGGTAGCTGGGACTTGCTGCTGCTCCGATTCCCTTCGGGTGTCGCATTTAACACTGCCTTTTGAAGCGGCTGTGAAGTTGCCAAGTCTGTATTCGACATCAGAGCCTCCCCAAATCTGCTCTCCCCTCAGAACTTCCTAGACCCCTTCCTCTTCTTTGGCATGGGGTGGGGGAAGGGAAAAAAGGGAAAAGAGAGAGAGAGAGTCTAATCTTCATTACTGTGCCCACAGGCATCTACACCTCTAGGGCTGCAGCCAAGGGCAGCCTGGTAATAAAACACAATCAGATTAGCCTAACCCCCATATAAGCGCTTCCTATTTCGTTTTAGGAGACACCAAGCTCAACTGTTTTGCATGTTAGGTATCAGGTTTCAGCTCTCCTGATTTCTGATCCCCCCGCCCCCCCATGTTGAGGTGTGTGATCTGCCCTTGCCCAGCTGCTTTTCATTTATGGTTTGAAGTGGCCTGAAGGTGGACATATGGAGAAGGGTGGGGGGTAGGGAGAAGTGATGTGGAGTTGGTGGATGGGATTATTAAAGCCTCTGAAAGAGCCTGTAGTCTTCATCAGGGTTATTAATGTCTCTCCTGTCACCAAATCATCATGACTACTGGAACAGCGGGGGGAGGGAGTGTGTAGACAAGGCTAGCAGTTCATAACCCAGATTACGCCCTCCTATTTGATCTAAATCCATCAGCGTGAGTGTCATTTACCTCCTCTAAAATGAATGCTGGCTGTTGCTGTGGTTCAAGACTAGCAATTAAATAACCTCACCAGTTAAAGGAATTCAAAGCAGGGATGAGCTGGGCATTTCAGCTTGCTATCCAACACCGTATTAGCATGTCATGCCTGAGATAAGGCCAGCCTTTTCAAAAAATGGTCTGAATTTTACCTGCCGAGTTTGAGAAATACTGTGCCTTCTTTGCAGAGGTGCTGAGGGCCCATGGTTCAATATTTGATCCCAAGTGAGTCACCCCAAAGCTGAGACCCAAAATGAGAAAACTACTAAAATGAGGCAGAAGCATTTCTTAAAAGAGGTAGTTTACCAGCATTTCAGTTGGCAGCTTGCAAAGAGTATCACACAGACTCACAAACAAGCCTGCAAAACTTAATGGACATTTCCCCCCTTTTCTTAATGTCATTTCCATAACCAACAGTCCTAATAATTCTGAATACTTGCAACTGACTCCCAAGATGGATCAGATAACCCTTCTGTTAAAACCATCAGAAAAATGCTAACATAATGACCTGTCTTTACTTGTATGATATATTGTACTGATAATAATTTACCTGTATGTTGTCCTACAGTGGGAGTTTGTGTCTCTCAGCCCCTAAAAGCTAACAACACTATTTTTGATATGCACAGATGTGATATTTTGATCTAAAAAAAATTCACAGATCACTTGCTTAAGTTTAAATCTTTTACTTCAGTTAGTTTATCACTGCATGAAATAGATTTTGTTAATTGTTCTATTAAATAAATCTGGCTCTGTATACAGAAGCATACATACCTACCATTCCAGCATTAATTTTCCCTGAAGTGGTTATGGACAACAAACAAAATAGATCCTTATAAAACATACCTTTACAGACACATATGTGTATTAAAAGTAGTAGGATTTACCAGTTGTTTTGTAACCACAGAAGACAACTACAAAATGTGATTCCAACATGCCACTCCCCCAAGTGAGATGATTATTAAATGCTCTCTCTCTCTCTCCAGTAGGAGATTAACTCTCCCAGCAAGGTACGCACTGACGTCACCCTTAGCCTCCAGCCAGCAATCTGCCCCCGACCTCAGCATCACCATCAACATCAAAACAGCATCAGCCATGGCAGGCTTCAAGACAGCTGGCCTTGCAGAACTCTGACCAAGATAAGGAGTCCCAAACACAGTGCTGCCAAAGACAATAGAGGGGAACACCACATAAATATATGAGGTGTGAATGTAAGCATAGAATCAATTAAATGTGTTTTACAAATTCAGGAAAAAAATCTGTTTTGTGTTTCTGATCCAGAGCTGCTACAAATTAAATGAACTTTCAGATTTCAATATAGAGGCTCTGCAATTTATTGTCACTCTATTATATTTGGATACAATAGCATGAGTGTTGTTAGGGGGAAAAACAAGCTAAGAATGCATACAATAGAAAGAAACTAGCACCTCCAACAGTCACTTAAAAAATTCTTGTTTGCATTAAAAAAAAAATATTTTCCTAGTCTCATTAATTAAATCACATCCTTTATGAATAAACTTCACAAAAGTGCAAGCTTTCCAGTATTCAGAGCTGGTCATATTCTTTCAGGTTGCAGAGTTTAACAAGATATGGGTAAGAATTTATTTTTTTATATCACACATTCATGTCTACCATTCCAAAATGCTCACAACTCTGACAGCCCATCTGACAACACAGTCAATCAAACTCCATCCTACGCCGTTTCCAAAGAAACCAACACACAGCCAGAGAGACAGACTGCATAAGCTGGAAGGAAACCAACCAAAAGGAACACAACAGCAACACCAACAAAAAACCCAACGTGCATCATTTTTGCTTTCCCCCAAATTTCTGAATTCTTGAATAATTTATCATGAAATCAATATTGGAAACTTGCAATATACAAAACAAGTGGTAATGGCATATTTTTTTTTTCATCTTGTCTCATTACAGGACTAATTTGAAGCGCTTCCTTTCTACTCTCACAAAATGCATTAAACAAAAACATGCCTCACCAGTTATGGAACTCAAGTGTTCACACCTTCTCATCCTGTGTCCATGACACTCCTGCTTAGGATTTAGTCTTGCACTGTCTTCTATGTAGGTTGATCTCTATACTTCTACTAAATGCAATATGGTCTTTTTTAAAAGAATGAGATTACTTATAAACTCTAAATTGAGCATATGCCTAAATCTTTGCATACACAAGGATCCTCTGGACTGGGATCTTGGCTGGAATTTTCAAGAGAGGCTAGAGGAACAAAATTCAGAAGATGGTAAACGGCCTCCCTTAATTTGAAAATCCCAGTACTGTTGAAGCAATATAAATAATAAATTATATTAAATGAATGTTTTTCTCTTATTTCTCCTTTCACTGATAAGACAGTGAGGCTGAAGGTAAAACAGTACTGCCACACAATAAATAAGCACAGACACATGTATGCACATATCATAAACAAAAACGACACTTAAAGAACATCAAGGTTGCTAATTCAAACATTCAAAAAATAAGAAAATGCCAGAATTAAGATTATTCTCATGTCCTTAATTTGCAACCCCCCCCCCAATTTCTGCATACATGCCTTATGAAACAGTTTTAATTTCATGTTCACGTGCAAGTTTTATACTGGACTCCTATATATAGAATATATGGTACTCACTTGACGAATGGTTCTTCAATATTGTATTTTGTCTTTTTATTGTGTGCTGCCTTCCCTTGTTCACTGCATAATTATTCAGATACAGAATTACTTTCTCGTGAGTTATTTAATGATTTTCATCCCTATTGTATTTGAATACTTTTCAAATATTAACTTATTTTCACTATACAATTTGAGATGATAGGATATTGTCCCTATAATATAGGTAGGGAATGGAAACAGGGATGAATTAAAATGAAAAGTAACCACTAATTTTGGATAATTGAGAAACCTAGGCTTGAGTTTTAAGAGATTTCAGCATTTATGGAGCCAGATATATTATGAACGCAGCTCCCATTAATTTTTGCTGGAGATTTTGTCAGTTCACAGCTCAGCGTTTCTTTAAAATCATACTAAAGGGTTTCAGATCAGGCACCCAGATAATGAGAAGCAAATAATTAGTTAAAAGGTATAGTCTATGACTCGACTAAGAATTCTGTGGTACAAGAAAAGATAGAACCCAGGCCTGCTTTCTGCCATTAAACTGTCCCTTCTCTTCCTACAGTCACCTCCTTATTTATCTCACACTTCTCAGTTTCTACAGCAAATGAGCATGGGGTCCCATAGGCAACATATCATCGGTTCATCTCCAGAACAGATTTATGCTGCTGAATGAAACAGGTTCTGTGGAAAAATGATTACACAAAGTTAAAGATCATGAAGTTAAAGTTTCAATATAATGCATACACATAAGGGAGTCAAGATGTCACCAGTCAACTATAATTCTTGTATTTCCTAATTTTTTAGTTTACTGTCATTTTAGTATTTTAGAATCATAGAAAATTAGGATTGGAAGGGACCTCATAAGGTTATCTAGTCCAACCTCCTGATCAAAGCAGGACCATACCCAGCTATTTCATCCCAGCCAAGGCTTTGTCTAACCAGGTCTTAAAAGCCTCCAAGGATGGAGATTCCACAACCTCTCTGGGTGGCCCATTCCAGTGTTTTACTACCCTCCTAGTGCAAAAGTTTTTTGCAATGTCTAACTTAAACTTCCCTTGCCACAACTTGAGACCATTGCTCTTTGTTCGGTTATTTGCCAGCACTGAGAACAATCTAGCTCCATCCTCTTTGAAACCACCCCTCAGGTAGTTAAAGCCTCCTATTAAATCCTCTCCCAGTCTTCTTTTCTCCAAAAGCCCAGTTCCCTCAGCCTCTCCTCACAAGTCATGTTCCCCAACCCTTTAACCATTATTGTTTCCCTCCACTGGACTCTCTCCAATTTGTCCACATCCTTTCTGCAGTGGGGGGCCCAAAATTGGACACAGTATTCTAGTGGTGGCCTCACCTGTGCCAAATAGAAAGGAATAATCACTTCCCGCAATCTACTGGCAAAGGTCCTACACCAATTCAGTCCACTATGCCATTAGCTTTCTTGGCAACAAAGGCACACTGTTGACTCATATTCAGCTTATTGTCCACTGTAACCTCCAGATCCTTTTCTGCAGAGCTGCTTTTCAGTCAGTCAGTCTCCAGCCTGTGCTGGTGCATGGGATTGTTTCATCCGAAGTGCAGGGCTTTGCACTTGTCCTTATTGAAATTCACTACATTTCTTTTGGTCTAATCCTACAATTTGTCTAGGTCTTACTGAATCCTAGGCCTACTCTCCAGTGTATCTATTTCCCCACCCAGCTTGGTGTCATCCTGACACCATTCCTGAGGGTGCGTTCCATCCAATCTTCCAGATGGTTGATGAAGATGTTGAACAAAACCAACCCCAGGACTGAACCATGGGGCACTCCACTCGATGCCACCTGCCAACTAGATATGGAGCCATTGATTACAGTTCTTTGAGTCTGATGATCCAGCCAGTTTTACACCTTACAGTTCATTCATCTAACCCATATTTCCTTAGCTGGCTTATGAAAATGTTGTGGGAGATCATACCAAAAGCCTTGCTGAAGAGCAGCTTGAACAACATCTGACAGTAAGGGCAGGAGGGTGGTGGGAAGAGAAGAGGCAGGGACTGGGGAGTTGAGGGGGAAGGGTCAGAGGCTGGGGGAGCAGGGAGGACACGCAGAAGCTGTGGAGAACTGGGGTGGGGGGAGTTCAGGTGGCAGAGGTGGAGACAAGAAAGGAGGCAGAGGGCCACCTGATACCCCCAGCCACTGCTTTCCCTGATATAGCGGTGGGGGTGGGGATTCAATACAACCCTCCAATACCTATATTCTATATCTGGGAAGTTAAAACAATTTTTTAAAAGTTCCATATATTGAATCTAATTATGGGAGGGTTCATCTTATATTCAGGGTTATTTTGTATTCAAGTAAATATGGTAGCCTCTCACCTGTTCTTTCACCACTGTCTGCTGCTCACCTCCTCTCCAGCTTGGGCTGCCAGGTTCAGTAGTCTGGTAGCTAACACTGCCTGTGAAGACTAAGGCAAAAAAGAAATTGAGTGCTTCAGCTTTTTCTGCATCATATGTCACTAGGTTGCCTCACCGATTCAGTAAAGGACCCACATTTTTTCTGATCTTCCTCTTCCCTGGGTTAGTCATCTGTTTTTTCAAGTCCAGGGCCCTAACTTTGCTGCTCTCTTCCTCCTTTTCCTCAGGATCCTGAACTCAATTATCTCATGGTCACTGCTGCCCAAGTTGCTATCCACTACTATTTTTCCCACCAATTCTTCCCGGTTTGTGAGCAACAGTTCAAAAAGAGCACTGCCTCTAGTGGCCTCTCCAACACTGGCACCAGAAAGTTGGCCCTAATACATTCCAAAAACTTCCTGGATTGCCTGTCCACTGCTGTATTTCCCTCCCAGCAGATGTCAGGGTGATTGAAGTCCCCCATGAGAACCAGGGCCTGTGACCGGGAAATTTTCACTAGCTGTTTGAGGCCTCTTCCACCTCATCCTCCTGGTCTGGTGGTCTATAGCAGACACTCATGACAACATCACCCTTGCTGTTCTCCTGTCCGACCCCAACCCAGAGACTTTCAACAGGCCTATCTCCAGTTTTAATGTAATTTTGTGTACAATTGCTAAGTTCTGAAAGAAAAGAAACTGAAAAAAAAAAATCACAAACACCATCATGTAGCTTCATACTGACATTCGCACGATTCGTCTCCAGGATCTGAAATTTCAGATTTGCTAAATACAGCTGTGCCACTTGAGTTAACAGAGAAACTGAAAGCTGGTGGGTACCAGCTCTAAAAGGGGCAGAGATGGCCAGTATTTGCCAGTCACAGAGAAATGGCAGGATCCATTCCAAGCTCCAGAGGTAGCATCCAGAGTGGGCACAGATTCATTTGCATATTCTTACCCATTTTGCCTCATTATCTTCTGCCTGTCCTTTTCTTACTCCTGGCTCCCCATCTTAGACTCATTTTCCTCATCTATCAGGTCTCAGTATCTACTTGACACCGTTCTCATTCCAGTCCCAGTCTTCTTATCCAGCAAGTCTTAGTATCATCCTTCAGGACTTATCACCAGCTCAGTCTCTCACATTCAGCTCTTCATGCAGCTCTTCTCACCCCTCTACCCACCCTAGTCCATTCAGCTTTAGCCATGAACACCACATGTCCCCAGTGGCTGGGGGGGCACGGTGAGCTCCTGCAGGTGGCAATCATGCTGTCAGTGGCAGGAGTGTGGTGGAGGGAAGTGGGGAACTGCCACAGGCAGCCGCAGAGCTGTTGGCAGCCGGGGCAGGGGACAGGGGTGTCAAGCGCTGACTAGTGGTCAGCGACCACCCTCAAACACGGCTGGTAGCAGCGGCAGCAGCCAGCAGTGATTGTGGACTGCCCACAGACACCACCAGCAGTGTTGGCGAGGGGTGGGGTGGCAAGCAGTGACTACCCGCAGGCACTGCTGACAGTGTCGGCAGTGCCTTTTCGCAGGGGGTGCATCACCATGCTCAGAGGGTGTATGTGCACCCCCTACATGTCGCCAATGGCTTCAGCCTTCTTATCCAACCAGGTACAGCATCCCAGAATACAGCCCAACACCCATTCTCAGGTTTCCCTCTCTCCATTTTGCTAGCTTCCAGCACACACCTAGGATCATAGCCCAATCACCTCTCCTCTGTGTTCTTTTCTTGTGCTCGTCCCACTCCTGTCAGAAAACTTACTTCTGTATGTTGCCTGGCTCAATAGTGTGGAAAGAAGAATTGAGAGCACAGGTGTGAATCTCTCCCCCCACTGCCAGGTGTCCAGAGGAACAGAGGAAGCTCTGCTCAACATGAGGTGGGAGCATGATTCTTGATGAAACTGAGTGACTGAAATCTATTAAGTCCCTTCTGAACACCTGCAAAATAATCTTTTGAAGGTTTGTGACTTGATGAAACTGGGACAGATTTTCACAAGGAATGAGGATAAGAAATGGTACATGCTTGAAAAGCTGTAAGGGCCTCCTCCAAAGTCTGATAGAGATGCTCAATGAAAATATCACTAGCCATTTTTAACATAGGTCAAAGTCTTCCTCTTTAACTTGTGCTACAAATGATGATTTTACCAGCTAATATGAAAAAAACCCCAAACAAAACCCAAACACATGCACCACAGAAACAGGCAAAAGCAGACACCCAGCACAGAAGCCTCAGGATAAATAGTTAAAGTTTAACTACTGCTCAAGTTATAAGTAACTAGAAACACAGCCTTAAATAAGCAATGTCAGGCAACCT